GTCAAGCATTTAGTTTTGTAAAAATCAAAATAAATAAAATTGAAATTGTTTTTCTAATTAAATTGACTTAAAATTACTGTAGAAAATTATTTACGTTATTATCCTATAATTTTTCTTTAAATTATTATTTATCTATTATTCAGCTCATTAAGTCAATCCAGACATTTCAACCGTTACTTCGTCTATTTCAATAGATTTAGGAGATTCAACCGTTCTAAAATTATTGGCACAAGTTCATGACAGTTTTTGTTGTGTCATCACTTTTACTAAAAGAATTCTTTTTCAGAACATATTTAGAGTCTCATTGGTAACTGCACTTTTCAAGTGACGATTTGTTTATAAATTAAAATAAGTAAAATTTGAATTACTTTTCCCCCACATTTGCTTGATACTATTTTTAACTTTTTCATTATTTTATTAATTAATAAAATGTCTTTTAAATATAATTTTTTAATATTTTAGCATATTAAACCGTTTTATTATAATTTGAATAGTTCCAATGAATTCAACTAAGAGCCCGTTTGGTAGCACCAAAATCGGCTGTTTTGGCTGATTCTGCTGAAATTTATGAAGTTCTGATTGAAGTGGCTGTTTTGGTTGATTTTGCTGATTCAAGAAAAAAAAAATTTAAAAATATATTTTATTAATAAATTAAAGAAAAAAATACATGTAAAAATAGCTAAAATGGTCTTCTGCAGTAACTTCAGCCAATATAGCCAGAAAAGTAACTCTAACCTTACTTTTTCTGCTTATTACACAATTCAGCACACGAAAGTAAAAATTACGTGTTTGGTGAAAAAGCTGGTTGATAAGCCTGATAAGCCGAAAAAACAGGTCTCCAAACGGGCTCTAAGTCTTCAAATTTCTATTTCAAGTGTTACCAAACCATCTTCGTGACATACATTTATTTGCGCACCTGCAATTCAGGAAACGATGTCTATGCAACAAAAAAAGTATTTGCATGGGAAAGTTCTCTAAATAGGAGTAAAACCATTTTGAAATTCCAAAATATATATAGGAAAAATAGGAAATATATATATATATATATATATATATATATATATATATATATATGTATATATATATATATATATATAGGGTTGGGTTCTAATAAGAAGACATCTTAACGTGAGAAGTGAGAAGCTACACATTTGCATCTTTCTGATGCACTTTTTCGCTAATCTGATGCACTTTTTGCGATGGCAGAAAAGTTCCGATTAATTACGGATATGCCACCGCGTCTAGCATCACTTTTTTAATATGTTTTGCACTTTCTCGTGCACTTTTTTGCTAATCTGATGCACAGATCTTAAAATGAACGCACCAGATGCATTCTCACTTCTTACGATAAGCACTCTTCTCATTTGATCCTTATTCTATATATATATATATATATATATATATATATATATATATATATATATATATATATATATATATATATATATATATATATATATATATATATATATATATATATACATCCTATACTTTTCCATGTATATAAATAAACTTGACAGTAATTATTCCTGTTTAGGGAGCAAAAATATATTAATCATATTTTGGAATTCAAAAACGTTTTTACTCCCATTTAGGAAAATTCTTTTATAAAAAATTAAAAATGTGATGAGCAAACAGCATAGCTCTTTCCTAAATGAACTCAATGACTTAAAAATTGCAGTTTCAAACCAATTTGTCTCCAACAACCTCTTTGCTTAAGATTTAGACATCTCTTGTACAAAAAATAGAGAGCGATTATCTGAAATGAGTTGAAACCTCTTCTTCTATCAACCAACAACCAGTTGGTAAGATAGCATCATCTTAGAGTTCCATTTAACTAATGCATGCTTCTCTTCTTGACAAATATCACTGCCACAGACAATATGAGAAATTTCATTGCAATTTGCGTTTTAGCCATGTTTTACTCTTATGCAGGTATTTATATTTTTCATTACTGAAACCTTTGATCTTGATCTCCTTAGTTTATATTTCTATCCAAGCACTTAAATATTTCTTGCTTAATTTACAGCTGCCTATGATCCTTTGGATCCAACTGGGAATATCACAGTTAAATGGGATATTATGTCTTGGACACCAGATGGCTATGTGGTAAGTACTTCTTCTGTAACTGTTTTATTTACTAATGTTCTGTTCTGTATACATGGAAAACATCTAGGAAAATTCAGTCATTTTTGTGTTTGGACATCAAAACATTTCTGATGAAAATTTTTCCTGATTTTTTCTATAGTAAAATATTTTACTGGATTCTTTACGATTTCGTGAAAGCTAATTTCTCTTTTTCTTCAAACAGTTTTGTGTTTTCCATTTTTGCGAGCTAAACATTGGAATTTTTTTCTAGGAAAGTACTTTTCCATGGAAAACATTTCCCTGAAAAATAACTTTGAAAAATATATTTTGCACGGAAATAAGATTTTCCATTAAATTATTTTCTTGTATAAAATAAGCTGTGTTAGACCTTCAAAAACAAAATGAAATTATCTTGAAGTATGAATTCATTTTCCACACAATAGGAACCAAAAAAATAATTTCTGGTCACACGCATAGATATATATACGAAGTATATTTTTTGGGAAAAAAAGTATTTCATGTTTTGAAAACAAAATAGTATGGTCATGTGACAAACACGGAAAACAAAAACATTCTTCTAAACCTAAGACATGGAATTCCATACTGCTTACATAAAAGAGCTGACGTTTTATCGGTTTTTGGACATTGGCATACTAGGTAACAGTGTCCATAAATAATTTGCAAATGTATAGACACATACTGAGCCCAGGATGGACACTGGGCTGGACATGGGCCAAGAAAGAAGTGATCTGGTCCATGGTGGGTGCGCAAACCACAGACCAAGGCGACTGCTCCATGTTCAAAGCTGCTATACCACATTGCTGCAAGAAGATCCCAAAAGTGGTAGACTTACTTCCTGGTGTTCCTTACAACCAACAATTCTCAAACTGCTGCAAAGGTGGAGTCTTGGCTTCTTGGGGACAAGATCCCCAGTCTTCAGTTTCTGCTTTCCAAATCAGTGTGGGCCAAGCTGGTACTACAAACAAGACTGTCAAACTCCCTAAGAACTTCACCTTACTCGGGCCTGGACCCGGTTACACTTGCGGTCCCGCGAAGATTGTCCCATCAACTAAATTTTTTACCACGGATCACAGACGAAACACACAGGCTCTCAGTAAGTCTTCCCTCACATTCTATATAGTCCTCAGACCCATTTGGTGAGGCTTAAACTATGTGAAGTGCCCAAGTCTATTGATTTTGTTGAATGTGTGTCTAAATGGTTGTCTAGAGTATTGTCTTAAAAATTAAAAAAAAATCATTTGGACAAATCATAGAAATTGTTTAGTAAAAATAAATAGAAATTAATTATACGGAGTACATTTTTAACTTGTCAGCTAGCTTTGTAAAATAAGTTTGTGTTTGATTAAAAAATGGGTGATAAGCCAAAAATAAACCAATTCTAAATCTAATATTTCGGTGTTTCTACTTTTATGCAGTGACATGGAATGTAACATGCACATATTCTCAATTTCTAGCACGCAAACACCCGAGTTGTTGCGTATCACTTTCCACTTTTTACAATGAAACTATCACTCCTTGCCAGCATTGTGCTTGCGGATGCGAAAACAAAAACAAATGCATCAAGTAAGGCAAATCATTGTAGTATCAAGATTTCAGTTCCATCATTAAAGATCAACTTGTTAGGCCATTAGGGTGTCAAAGTTTGATGTAACTTGTGATTGTTGCAAACAGACAGGATTCAAAACTCCTAAGTGTGGTAGGGATAAACACCCCAAGAAAAGATAATGCACCATTATTGCAGTGCACACAACACATGTGCCCTATTAGGGTTCATTGGCATGTGAAGATCAACTACAAAGAATACTGGCGGGTGAAAATTTCCATAACAAACTTCAACTATAGGATGAATTATACGCTATGGACTCTCGTTGTGCAACACCCTAATCTCAACAATGTGACACAAGTCTTCAGCTTTGATTACAAACCACTCGTTCCCTACGGATCCATCAGTAAGCACATTACAAAATTCTTCTGAGGATTGCTTTCTATGTTCAGATATGATGAAAGGTAGGTGAGACATGAGTTGTCTTTGTATATATGTGCAGATGACACGGGAATGTTCTATGGGATGAAGTTCTACAATGACTTGCTAATGGAGGCTGGGAAGTTCGGGACTGTACAGTCAGAAGTTCTTCTCCAGAAGGACAAAGACAGCTTCAGCTTCAAACAAGGATGGGGATTTCCCAGGAAGGTGTACTTCAATGGAGATGAGTGCATGTTGCCACCACCTGATACTTACCCATATCTACCCAACTCTGCCCCATACCAACACACACTCCTCTTCTCACCATCTATTTCTGCAATTCTTTTGCTATTCTATGTTTTGTTTTAATCATATACCCTACCCTATTGCTCTGGTCAACTAGAATTTTTGAAGGTATAATATACAGGCAACTTATTTAAAGTAATCAGAATTTTGTACCGAAAACTTATCGAAAATGTGCAATTGCATCTATATACGAATAGAAATATTCTGCTCTGTTTGGTAGTCATATTCAACTTACTATGCTTAGACTCGTAAGCATAATAAGTAACTTTTTACTTACTTATTTGGTTGAAGTAGATTTTACCAAAAGCTTTTCCTTCCAGAAAATTCCACCAAATGATCCTGACCATATGCCCCACCCCACCCTCATCTGCAGCAAAAAGGAAAGCCTCTATGTTGAAAACTGGCTGAACAAATCAAATTGTAATGGGTTTTCATCTAGTTTATAGCTCAAGTTACCCGAGGGGGGTATAGAACATACTCAAAATCCATGTAGGGGATATAAAATTCTTGAGATCAATAAAATTCCAAGACAATGCATCTCAACTACTAATGTCATCATCGTCTGCCTCTTCCTCATCCTCATCATTATCGATGCTGTCATCATCATCATCGTCAACCAACTCATCATTTTGGGTTGAAGTTTTTGCATCATTGTCACCATGAGTGGATCCAGCGTCTTGTTCAACTGATGAGGACCCTGGGACTACTTCACCCACTTTGCCATTCTGACTTGTGGATTTCGCTGAATTGAGAGATTTTCCTTTGTTCATCTGTTGTTACATATACATCAGACAGACTGAAGATTTAAAATGATTTATCGTGGTTCAACTAAAGTTATGCACCTTCTGTCCATTAATTATCTACACACTCTCATCTCTCCCAAAATTATGGCACATTTCCTTTTAAGGAAAGCAAACTGCACCAAGTTAAATGGAGCAATGATTAGGAATGGAGAGAGTAAATTACATTAAAAAATGGTTTCGTTTGATGAACCATGTCTACTAGTATAACAAAAAACGTTTTTGAACCAGGACTATTTTTGGGACTGATGGAGTACTATTTCACCGCAAAATCCATCATCCCCTCCCCTTATTAACTTATAGGCTTATACATTCCTCAGTTGGGCCCTTGATCATTCGGACACAAGCATACACACATTTTCCATGTTTTTGGCTAACTACATCCATCTTCCTATCTTCCCATTTCAAATGCAGGAGATACTTAGGCCTTGTTTGGCAAATGGATGTTACTTGTTGCTGTCAGCTGGTTGTGTCAGCTATTTCCTAACAGCTGGTTGTGTTGGCTGTTTTGACCGACTGGTTATGTTAGGTGACTATAAATAATTGCTTGGTAAAATTGGTTGTTTCAAAATGGCTGATAGAGTGTAAAAAGACATAAAGACATGATAATACTTATTATAGAGTATTTTATCATTGTTAATAATGAAAATTTTATAACTACTCTTACCCGAAGGATATAAATCTTTTATATATCTGTAATTTTTAAAATTTGTTGAATAAATTTTATTTTAATTCAAGATAGAAGGCATAACTAATAATATAAAATAATATAAAATGTTAGTTAAGCATATATTATTTTTTCAAATAGTATTTGGTTAAATGAGTTTTATTTATAACAATTACGGAATAATTACTAGTATATACGGAGTATTACTTAAATCATTAATTTAGAAAAGGCTAACCCATGCCAAAAGAATGAAAGAAAAAAGAGAGAACAGAAAAACAATTTGTTTTTTTCTAGTAAGCAAAACAAGCCAACCTAAAAAGCTGCCCCTTGGCTTTTCCTACCAGCCATTTTTTCAGCTTTTCAGACTCAACCAGCCAATCTAAAAAGCTATTTACCAAACATAAATATCGGCTGCTTTGACTAATGAAACGACTAAATTTGGTCAAACAAGCTAAAAGTTGGCTGATCCTTTGCCAAACATGCCCTTAAAGGATATTAAGAACTACACACTAACTTAAAAAAAGGTCTGCCAAGCGAAATATAACAAAACAAAAAGGTGAACCAAGTTAAACAGTACATACTAGAAAAAGTCTAAAACAAATATTCACAGAAACTGAAAGTTTTGAGAGTGCCTTACAGATCGTAGTAGACTCCTCTTGTCCCTCTCACGTGCATTTGCTATTGCCTGCAAGAAAATAAGAATCTTGTAAACTTGATGCATTTGAAACAGAAAGTAGCATGATCCTTCACAAAGCACGCCAAATAAACTAAACCATAAAAGTAAATGTGCTAAAGGATAATAATCATAAGCAAACACAAACCTCTTCAAGGGTCTTCTTCTCAGCCTCTATTTCTGATAAATCTCTGCATATGAATGAACTACCACAATTAAAATACATTTTACCTGCATAGGCAACTATGAACACAATGAATGCATCAATTACGGACTAGTAACAATCGAAAGCACATATGTTTCTAAATAAGAGCATATGAAAATTTAAACCTTCCAATGATGTGGTCAACTCGACAGGAACACTTGGCACACACATTATGCTCCTTTGCACAAGCTGTACATACATAATAAACAAGAACAGTGATTTTTGAAGATTATCATAATCGTCTATGTGTGAGCGAGAGGTCACGGAGAGACATCATGTCAAAATGACAAAAGAAGGCTGCTCCTTATACACCCTTATGGTGGGACGCTTCCATGGGCCCTCCATGCCCATTTGCACCCGGCTGCCCTTTTTTAATCATAATAGCATACGTTATAAGGAAGACAATAAGAAATAGGAATAGAAGCTGACCATTACAGATATTGTGGTAAGCTTGGCGAACATTCCTTTTCGAACACTTCTGACTGTTGAATTTCATTTAGTGCACATCAGAATATAAAAGAGTTTTACAGCAGATTGCAGATTTAGAACACGTAAAAGTGGTTACATTGATCTTCATACACACAAGTAGGAGTGAATACGAATATAGAGTGATTTAAACGCAAGCATATTGCAGAAAGAGAGGTTAAAACATAAGAGATAGGGCTACCATTTGGCAGGCTCGGTCAGGGGTTTGTACTTTCCGTACTTCCGCTTCCAGTCTATCTGACCCTTACAGCGTGCGCAAACACCAGTTATCTCTGAGTAAGGCTTGAACCTCCCCCCAAGTTCTGATTCGTTGATCTTCTTCCCGCCGTTAGGCTTCCAGGCAAAACTGTTATGGTGCTTCGGCGGCCCTTTCCTTCCACCGCCGCTACTCATCTCCTTCGTCTTAGATTTTTTCCTTCAATTGGAATTAGTAAGGTCCCTGAGCTCTCTGAGCTTTTAGCTCTTTCTCACCTCAACGCCGGTTCGCCGCCACAGGCCACTGCTTACAAGGCACTTCACTGATTTGCACAACGATTGCGCACCAAATGGAGTGGACACTCGGCCCATTCACTTCATAGTAGACCGCAAACTTATCTTATATGGGCCCATTTTTTCTTACTCTCAAACCATTTGTAGTGGTGAGGAGTCCAAATTGTTAAATTTTAACTCCGTCCATATGAAAATAATGTATAAACTCCGTCAATATTGATTTTTTCCGCATTCGTGCACCGTTAATAAAATATACTCAACATATTTTTTTTACATATCAATTTAGTAAAACATTAATTAATTTATTATAAGTAATGTTTTCGGTTTAATATTTTCCCTAAATAATTATGAAATAAAAAATACACATTTAGATGTAAAAATAAATAAATTTCATTAATTTTTTTTAATGTTTTACGGTTAACAAAAATGAACTTAGTTCAAGTAAAGTCCGATTATGGAATATTCAGTTATTTGTAAAGACCAACAACACTATTCTGATAATCTGTTTATAAAAAAAATCTTTCTGATAATCTGATGTATTAAAATTTTCCAAATGAACACAATTAGCAACACCTGAAAGAGAAACCAAACACTCATTATGAGATTTATGACAATGGGGGTTTGGAGTGATACTTACGGAGATAAATTATAAACCTATCATGCATTGGATAAAAGCTAGCTACTCTAATTTCTTTTGTTTATATGTATACATTTTTTGTCCTAGAATTATAACACTTTGGTAATTTGAACTCTCATAGTAAAATTAGAATCGTTTATTCTCTCTTTTTATTTATTCAATGGACGACTGCTTTTCTATATTTTAGAAAACGCAATTTTAAAACGATCAATTTCTTGAATTACATTTATAAGGGAGTGCTCGCAATTGCTTCTACATTAAAAAAGTAACTTGTAAAGTGATTTTAAGGAAAATATTTAATAGTAAAAGTATTTTTACATAATAGAAAAGTGAAAAGCGGTTAACACACATATGTGTGTTGAATTTATGCAGAAGCTCTCTTGAAAACATGCACTCATTCCAATTTTTTTAGTCAAAAGTTAAAAACAGATTTTGCAAACATTCCTTTCAAAAAAAGAAAAAGATTTTGCAAACATTAACTAATATCTTGCAAAAATGAATAGTATATTTGGGGAAGTTGAGGATAATAATTAATAGCTAATGACAAAATATGTAAAAAGTAAAAGAAAATGTAACATTGTTATTTAAAATCATCACCAATCAAAACACATATTGCTAATATCCATTATCAATAAGCAATCTCCAATCATTTTAGGATAAGGAATATGCAAATCAAATAGGACTTAGGAGTGTTTGGAACTGATTCTGCTTCTGTTTCTGCTTCTTTTTTAAAGCAGACGCAGAATCAGAATCTGTTTTCAAAAGCTGGTCACCCCAAGCTTCTAAAACAACTGATTCTAGGAGTAAATTAGAGCACCAGAATCACTTCTGCACTTTCACCCAACACTCCAACTTCTGCTTCTGCTCCCTGAAGGAGCAGAAACAGTTTTAAGAATTAGACCCAAATACTCCCTTAATGTTATAAGCAAAAGTACTATATTAGCTACTAATTTCTTGAAAAAATCATGGTAAATACAAATCACAACTATATGTAACTCTTTATCTAATAATCACTTCATTTGAGCTTTAAAGTGTTAACATATTTCAATGTTTATTTATGTTCGAAGGAGTGTTGTTTCAAACATTATTTGTTGTCAATATGTTTGTTAAATGATCCTATTTTCACCCTTCATACTACGTATTAATTTATCTACAATCTATTTATAATAAATTCTTAATTAGTTAGTGCACATGCATTTTCTCCATTTAAGTACGTACGTATATCACTTCATCATATTCCCAATTCAGTGAGTCTCGCATAATAGAGACTTAAAGTATTGGTTATTCATTATCTACAACCACATATGCTCATTATTTGACCAGCCAACACAGATTGAAAAACTCATTATACTTCGTATATTGTTTGAAATCCCGGCCAAATAGCTTATACAACACATACATATTTTTTAGCGCAACCCTTTGAGCCCTGATTTCATTTGGCCGCAATCTCTAATCCGCTACTACGTTACGTACTCTATAAGAAATCCAAAAGTAAAGTAGATCCTTTTCCTTGAGTCATAATCCTTTTCCTTTGAGCTCTCAATGTATAAGGAATAGAAACCCAAAAATTAACAACAAAAAGGAAGTCCACGACTAGTAAAAAAGCAGTCAGATACTTCGTATATGAGAGTCAAATTTTTAAAATGCCAATTAATTAGAAGCTCGATCCAAGGATAAATTCGGTTTCCTCTATGCACGGTGTTGGAAAAATGTGTCAAATGGTCATTTTGGGGCAATTGTTTGAGTGGGGTCCACTTCCGATTTGGGTCGGGTCAAAGTGGTTTCGGATTGTCCTTGTTAAGGGCTGCAATTTGATATGTGGTACACTCAAAACGGATAACGAGTGAATGAGAAATTGATTCTCGAAGTTCACTCGTTGAAATGGAAAAACTGGGAAAATGATGGGTTTCTAGTGTGTTTTATACCACACCGGAAAACTCAAGGGATTTTCACCCCCTTATAAAGGGAAGCCTCTTTTAAGGAGTTAAGATTCCTTAAGGTAGAGGCTCTCTCTCGCGCGCAGGGGGTGCTGATCAAATCCTGAAACGGAGAAGAAAAACCGTGATTCGTGTGCGCGGGTGACCTGCGGACACGAATTCTCGCTCCCAACAGAATACCTCGAGGGGTTCTCTGCTCGCTCCCAACAGAAGACCTCAAGGTGTTCTGTTCGCTCTGGAACCAGAAGGCCGCGTGTTGTTCTGTTGCGCAACAGAATACCTCGATGTTCTGTCCGTTACAGGACTTAATGCCCAACGTTCTTCTCCATTAATGTGCGCTTTAAATGGACAGTTTTCTATTAATGCCCAACGTGCTGGACATTTATGTGCAACGTTCAAGTCCATTAAAGCTCGGTTAACACACAACAAATTCTCCTATAAATAGCTGGCAGGTGCTTTGCAACAAAAACATGTTCTTACACGTTCACAAGCAATCATACACGTATTTTAACTCTCAAAAACACCTCCAGCTCTCTGAAAATTTCCTGAGTGTTCAATCTTTCTTCCCGTTCGCCGGAACTCTCGTTTGTGTGCTCAAACGTTAGTTCGTTAGCCACCGTATCCTGGGAAACGGTCGTTGCAACGCTCCTAGCACCGTGGGAGGCGTCGAATACGTTTTAAGGACATCGTGTGTAGCACGAGCTCTAGCTAAACTCTGTTTCATCTTATTTCTGGTTTTCTTTAGCTATTTAAATTAATTAATTATTTTTATTAATTAATTCTTCTTCGTTTTTCCGAGACACACCCAACACACGGTTCGATTATATTTTCATACCTTTTGGATTCTTAGATCGATACGTGCATGATGAGTTCATTTCATGTAATAGAGTTTTCAATGTTCAATTTGGCCAGGGTTCAGTCATAAACATCGAACCTGATTTTAAAAATAAATTTCTAATGCTTTTTTGCATACTTATATTCTTTCTAAGCTTTAATTTTAAGTACTCTCTGAATAATGCTTTGGTGATTATCTCTCCATATGAGCATTTTAGATGCGAAAAGATTCTAAGTGAGCTTGTTTATCTCAATATAAACAATTTGGACGACATGGTTGTATTAATTCTCTCTCAGTGGTGTTCAACAATTAAAAACAATATACATGTAAATACATAAACATGTGCTTGTTTGAATGGAGAGCTTATAATACTTTGCGTAGTATAAAACTCAATAGTTATTTCTTACCTCATAATCTTTAGACTACTAAGCAAGTTGGAGGATTCTAGATTAAGTTCGAGCTAGGGTGCGTACCATCACAATGGAGACGTTCGGATTTATATCGATGCATGGAGCTTTCAGATATTTTGAAGCAGCTATTGGAATTTGAAAGGTAGATTAGATTCTATGATACCCTTAAGGTATCATACCTTTGTCAACATGGACCAATCAGAATGTTGCAGTTGAGTTATTTAAATCTAAATTAAAAATGATATAATGATTTGGACCAACCAAGTGATTGATAGGTACCGTACCTCAATTTTTAAATGGGTACCGGAGTTGTCACCATTTGAAAAGCCCTTGTGTACTAAATAGTCTTAATTGTAAATGCATTGGAAACATAATAGTGATTGTATCGAAGAGTCCATTTTTTAAGTTAGGAGTTAATATTTTTAGTTTTTTACCATTCTTTCTCCCAATCCCCATGCCAGCTTTTTCCAAAATATTAATTGAGATCGGCGCACGTGTTTAACAAAACAATTCATGAAACCCGTCACCCCCAAAATGAAAAAAAAAAGATTGCTACAGTGTTCCCGTCCAATTGCCCAAATTCCCTCCCAGACTTTTTTGTTATTATATATCTATAGATATTACATATTGGTGTCAAATGAAAGAGTATAAAAAGTTATGAATTATGATATATGTTTTCTAAAAACTGATTTATAAAAAAACAAGTTATAACAATTTTAAGAAAGATGGGGTTTTATTTTCTGGGACTCACTTACTACCCTTAGTTCAATGACCCTTTCTTTTTGGCAAAGTAGCCCTCCCTAGAGAGTCCATCTGCCAGGCTAGAATTGGATTCCTCACTCCTCATCTCCATTTTATAGCCTCCTAGATGCTCTACAATGTAAGAAATTAAGAGTCTAAAATTTTCATTTTAACACTTTAGACTCCTAATACCTTACCACTGCAAATGGTCTCATACGGGTAATTCCATTTATGGTCTTATTATACTGGTATTATTTACCGTCAGTATAAAATAACAATTTAACTCCATAAAACTAATACAATCTACCTTTCAAAAAATACAATCAAATATCACCATAATTTTATAGCATTTATACACTTTATTTTTAATTACTAAATTTATATGATTGTCAAATCACTTAAATCTCCAATTATATAATTTATATAAAGAATACATAATTTATATTGGTAAACAAGTCCATGTACTAACCAAAAAAAGTCAAATAAACTGTTACATAGGATGCTATATCTGGCC